TTACCAAAAATGGTACACCACAAAGATGCCTAGCATTGTGACATAATTTTGCACATATTTAAAGTAGGCTATCCCAGGATGGAGGGGAGCAGTATGAATCTCACACTTAAAAAAACCCCACAACTTTGGTTGGCAGTAGGAAAAAACTCTTACGCAAGACACTTAATTTTCTTTAAAAAATAATAATACTGTTTTACTGTATAGTCCATGCTTGTATGAGAAGCACCTCAATCATCAAGAAGTTTATTCTTCATCTATACTGAAAAATAATTCTATTTTAAAAAAGAAAACATCAAGGCAGCTAACTCTGTAATACACACCCACACCCACTCAAAAGCTAAAACACAGATAAGTTTTAACCAAAAGATATCAAATTAAATATAAATAATAGAGGGAAACAAACTGAATACTTAACAAGTTAAAAAAGAAAACTTTATTGCCAGACAATATTGCAAGAGGTTTTTTGCTTTATCTCACCATTTGAATTTAAGGAAAAACCCTTCCCTCATACTATGGGAAAGACTTTTTAACAAAATAGCAGCACATTTGATCAAGTTACAAATAAGCATTAAAGATACATCAGCACTTCTGTTAGCTATAAACATCATCGAGTGCTTTTGAAACCCTTTTCTGTATCTATAGGCAATGCAAAGCTTAATGCACCATTTGCTGAACCAGTTCATAGTCTGAGGACTTCCCTTTTATTATAAGCCTGCGCTGTGATTCATTTATTCTATGGATTTAAAATGTGGAGTATAAAACAGCAAAGCACTGCAGCTAGGTTTTGACAGCAACACCATACAATTTTTATTTAAATTTCAACTGGTTTTTTTTTTAACCTTACATTTTGTTCATTTGGGAGCTGATTCTTAAAAGACTGTTTTGAAATATATATTTGGCATCTTTGGCTTAGTTTTATTTTTCATTTGCAAGCACCACCAATGGAAATTGTAATAGATATCACAAAAATAATATACCAGGATTTGTTTGCAGGAATCTGTTAAATAGGCTTGATTCAGTGTTAACATCAGTGCCTTAGGGAATGGGCTGTAAAATCCTCTTATACAAGGCACTTTTCTACTGCTAGTGCCTAAGATTGCACGGCTCCTCTAACCTAATTATTAACATGACATTGAATAATTTGTAGCAACAAAACAGCTGAATGGCCATTAACATTAGATTTAAAGAAATGGTATGCTGTGACCTTAATACGTACTGGACAAAGCATTTTTTTTCTTTTTACTATTTAGCCAATAACTACCCAGATTATTATTGACTGGAAACAGCAATATTGTTTTACATATATTGACTACCATAATGTTAAACGAATGGTGAATTATGGTGAGTTTAATTATCTTTGATTAGCTACTATCTAGTTTGCAGGGGAAATGGATGGTGTGCAATTATTTTTTTTACCACCAACAGCACTTTTTACTGTCTCCACAACCTGTATTTACTAAAAACACAGTCTTATAAATGTGTGTATAAATAAACAAAATAAATAAATAAACAATGGAAGGAAGCCCCATTGAACACAGTGTAGCTTACCTTTGTGTAGATATGTCTACAATTAAATGTTTAGTTATTAATTTTTGCCTACACTAAGGCTGCAGTCGTATATACACTTACCTGAGAGTGAGCCCAGTTGAATACAGTGGGACTTACTTTTAAGTAAGTGTTTGCGGGGGCTGCAGCCTGGGGGCGGGGAAATAGGTATAACCTACAAGGTGGTATACCAAGGACATCCTATCAGTTGCAGTAAATGTTTTTCAACAACAGAAAGACTAATTTATTTGTAGTGAAGGAAAACTCATTGAATCATTAACAAGAGGATGACTTTGTAAAACTTCAACTTAAAACAGCATCTATACAAGGAATCAAAATGGGCACAGCAAAATTAAATAGGCCTTTTGAATTTCTCTGCGCAGCCAGACTTGCCAATTCATTATAGTTGCCATAAGATACTGCCCCCAATGTTTGTGTTTTTAAAGTTTTGTACTCTACAGGAAATTTCACCACATAAAAAAAGAAGTTCTGGTGCGGTTTTTTTTAATGTTTCTTTCTCTCATTGGCAAAAATGCTTGTTACTGTTTATGGATATTGTCCATGTCATCTGGCTCTGACTCTACAAATTGTACACCTGGAAGGCACTGGTCATTTAAAAGTACATGTGCACAACTAAATAGTAGACAACATGGTAATACTGTGTGATATGCAACAAAATGTTAAGCACAGCTTTGTATTTGTAATTAGCATATGTTATTGAGTCCCATAGGGCTTACTCCGATCCCAAGGGTTCTATGAGAAGTGGGAGCATGATAGAAATCTAAATAAATAAAATTATAGGGTTGCAGGGTTACTTGGATTATTTTTTTAACTTTAGGACTACTTCCCTCTTAAGAATTCTATGATAAAAGTGTTTCATTACACCACTGATGGAGATTTCTCTAACAGCACAGAAAATGAGCTACTCCCCATGGAATTGTTAGGCTATCAGCTGCGAACAGGTACTCCCTTGTGTGTATTTCCCTCCCCTTACAAGAAAACAGCTTTTGATTCTTTAAAGTAATCAACACAAAGCAATTGTTGTAAAGCCACAGCAAAAAAGTTGACATCATCCAATAAAATGTGGAATAAAACCAATGTCCGTCAGAAGTTTTAATCGGTTCCTTTGATTATCTGGTTGATTTAAAATAACAAAAATAAAAATGGGTAGGGGTATTTCAATTTACCTCTTTCCTGACCAACTTTGTAATCCATTAACTGCTTTCCATTCACATCCCTAACCCCTGTGTGGTGTTTAGCTGGAAACTCTGCTCTAAGAATATAAACAGCCTTTTATTGTTCAAAAAAGCAAAGCAGTGTGAAAGCAAATATGAGTGTCTTATCGCAGAGCTGCAGCTCCGCACTTCACTGCTATGATAAAGTGCCACAGCAAAAAAAAAAAAAAAGGGGGAAAGGGAAAGGGAAAACAGCCCCACAACATTACAAGACAAGCACAATCCAAAACCGGATTAGAATTTGACATAAGCTTCCTCAAAAACTAATCAATCAACTCATGCTGTAATATTAGAATCCAGCTCTTAAGGAGGCTGTCTAATCCCTTCAAGGTTTATTACACATCCCCTTATTGACTGTAGTCACACACACACACAAACTTTCAGCCAGAATGCAGCCATGAGGAGAAAAACAAAACTTTGTATCCTGTTGTGTGCAAACAATTAACATCTTCCTGAAATGGAGTATGATGAAATACGATTGCAATGCTGTTTTTGTTTGATTTAGCTCCTTTTGCTGCCTTACTCCATATATTTAATGCCCCAAGTTAGTTATTCAAGTAAGTTTGTTACAAGTATTTACAACTGTATTCTCTGCACTCTGATTAGTAGCAGTGTCTCGCTTGGAGTTCTCCACAACTTCAGCAAACCAGCTTTTGCCATTTGCTTCTGACTGCAATCTTCAGTTTACTCCCATTATATTCTGCAGGGTTTACTGCTAAATACAGTAAAGGTATTTACAACTGAGCTGTAGTCCAACCCAAAGCCATAAGATACCACAAGAGAATAGACAGCAGTACTGTACTTTTACATCATCTATAGGGAATGTAAAACGAATTTTGAAACTATGAAAATCAAAGAAATTTAATTTAAGCTGCAATCCTATGCAGTTAAATGAAAATCAAGTGCCACTGAAAACATTTGCTCCAGAGTAGTAAACATGCACAGGGTCCAGCTGCATGAGATCAGATAATTGCATAAGTAGTTTATTGTTTGAGTCAACAGTACAAGATTCTTATTTACAGGTAAATATTCTCAGATAAAACAAAGTAAAATATTAATAAATTTAAAAAAACTTATTTGCAAATTGCTTAGGATCAGCCAAAGTGGACTCTAGTCCACAAAAGCTTGTGCCATAACACAACTGTTAGTCTTCAACGTACCACAAGGCTATGTATCAATGTATTAAATAAGTATGTAAGACTTTTAAGTAAAAAGTTGCTTCATAGTTGCACCACACAACATCCTGTTTAATAACATCGCTTCAGATTCGTACTATTGAGGAAACAAAGCCTACAAATATATGAGCTACCAAAAAAACACAAATCTGCTCAAAAGGCACATGATTTCTTGTAAATTAGAAAACTGTAACAAGCAACAATGTAACTAACTTTCTCTAGAGGCACCAGATATGGAGATGATTGTAAAAAGCCAGTTCTTTATTAGCCAAGATTTCCAAAGGGCTTATTGCAGTGCAACCCTAGGCATGTCTACTCAGAGGAAAGTCCCTCTGAGTTCAGGGGCACCTACTCCTGCCTAGCTGTGTTTAGAGTTGCAGCCTTACTTTGGTTACACTAACAGCACATAAATGGAAGATCCGAAAACCTTAGTCCAAAGCCGACAATATTCAACATGTTGGACACAGGCCTTTCGGGAATCCCAGTTGAAAACTGAAAAAACAAGACGATATTGTTAAGCAATCCCGCCTTTGGCTTTACTGGGCTGTTCTAACTCAATCGAATTCTTTCCCCTCCGAAAGCGAACAGTGTTCCCGGTCGAAACGACAGCAGTCGGAAGAGACGCAAGGTGCGCCCAGGAGCTCGTAAGGCTTCTTTGGCTGCTTAGAAAAGGGAAAAGTTTCCACCAAGCATCCGAGCCCAAGCGATCGAATCGAAACGCTCACCCTCCTCCTTCGCAAACCAAAGCCACACCAGGCGCGGCTAGCTAGTGAGAGATCTCGCCATCGAGCCGCGCGAAATGTTGGCGGCAGAGGCAGGTGCGCGCCCCATTCATTCCCTGGCATCGCTGAGATGGATGGTCCACTCCCCCCCCCCAAAAAAAGAGAGCAAGGGTGGGAGAAGGGGAGAAAACCCGAAAAGGAACAAGGAAAGACCTCATGCTAAAGCCACCCGGGTTCATTACGAACTTCTCCAGCGTTTCTAAAGCTTGCAGAGAAATAGGGAGGCAAAGCCTAAGAGCGCCCAGCCAAAGCGGGAGACTTACAAGCGGGAGGAAGCTGTGCATCACCACCAGGAGAGGCAGGGGCTGCCGCAGGTGCGCCATCCTGGCTCGGGAGTCTTAAGAGATGCTCTCCTTTCCTCGGGTCTGGCTCATCTCCACTTTAGGGGGCAAGACTGAGTCCAGGGACATAGCACGGCGCGGCGGCGGCGGCTTCGTCGCCGTCTTCTTCTGCCTCCAGAAACTGCCACACGACAGACATACACGCGCTCGCCGAGAGGCGCGCGCCCGTCAGAGCAAGACGGGCAAAGAAGAGCCCCGCGAAGACCCCGAGGCAAATCCTCCGGCGCTCACTCGCGCAGGCGCCGCTTGGGGTCCCCTTTCGCGCGGGGGGCGCCGCTCATGGCTGGCGGCGAGGCGGGAAAGAGCCGCGCAAATGGCCGGAATCAACGGCGGAACGTCGAGGGTCCCTGGGAGAGGTGGGAGGGGCGGGCGAGAGTGAGGGCATTTTCACACACGCCCCGTGAAGAGATGCGGCGGCGGCGGCGGCGGCGGCGCAGCGCTATGCCAGCCACGCGCGTCAAGCAACTCGGCGGCGCCTCCCCGGCTTGCCTGGAGCAGGCGAGGGAAGAGGAGGAGGGCGCTTTGTTCGCGCTTGGCGGGAAAGCGCTCTGAGGCGATGGAGCGGGGCGGGGCGGGGCTCAGCCCGGGGCGTATTAATGAACGCAGTTGGGAGCAGGGTGGGAAGTGTGTGAGGCGGCCGGGGGGGGGCGGTTCTTGGTCCTTATGGGGACCCCTTGTGGTAACACGCCTTTGGACGAGCTCCCTGGCAGAGGGAAGAAAACCTTCCCAGCAAGGGGCAGAGGGTTGCCTTCGGTGTGCCAGGTGGTTGGTCCCACCTTGTCTCCACCCAGGAAGGAGCAGAAGGGCACTGCCAGAAAAAAAAGGGGCAGCCAACTCTGCCCGTTTGCCAACCCAGGGAGGGAGACAGCTGAAGTGGGCAAGGCAGCAGTTCAGCGGGAGAGTTCCTGCCTGAAACCCTGCAGAGCTTCCGGTCAGTAGGCCAATAATGAACCAATGGTGCTGACTCAGCATGAGGCAGCTTCCGGTGTTCAGGTGTCGCTTCTTCTCATCACCAGCCTCTTTGGCTCTGGGATGGTCTGCCTGCTGGCTCTCTCTGGGCAACCAAGTTAGGGAGAATTAGATGCAGTTCTCACAACTGCGTCTTCCATGCAGAGGCAGCGCTAGTGAGCAAGAGGATGTATCAACTTCCCTTTATACACCTCCTTTTTTCCCTTTGGGCACTGTGCTGGTGGTAGTTGAATGTACCATCTTGAGAAGGGGTGGATGATCACCAAGGGAACAAAGGCATCTTTCAACCTCTGTCTCTCTGCCTACACAATGCCATGGTACCCAGTTCTCGACATGTGGAGCCCAGAGGGTGAGAGGAAGAGCAAGCTGATGGAAGTTACAGTGCTTCTGTAGAGCAACTTTGCCGGCTTCACTTCTCCCCACTATGCCAACCAATGAGGCAGAGGAAGGCGGAAAGAGAGGTGTCTGCCTCTGATGCTGAACTTGCCAGTGAGAAAGCGGAGACATGTCCGACTGCTGTTGCTCTGCAGAAGAAGCTAAGTTCCTCTGTGGAGCTTGAGACATTACTTAGAGTAAACCCACTGGAATAAATGGGCATGACTAACTTCAATCTATTGATTTCATTGGGTCTACTCTGAGAATGAATGAGTTGGGTGCAATCCAGAATCTGCATAGATTTTCTAGAAAAGTTTCATGAACAGCATATTTGCCAACTCATATTTAAGCTCAGCATCCTTGTGGATTTTCAATTAGAATCTAACCTTTTCTACATCTGTTTCTCAGAGGAATCATTTTAAATATATACCGGTATATATCTGTATAGGGCAAGTGAATTGGACCAGTATATTATCATGTGCTTTCACAGATACCTGCTTTATTTTAAGTCTGTTACCTAGAATGAAAAATGTTCCTAGACCAGGGCAGTTCACAAGTTGCCCTGCTTCAATTAGACTCTGGAGGTATTCTAAACAAAAAATAGCTGTCACCTAAGGTAAATTGTGTTCTCTCTAATCAAGAATGTATTTTTGGTCTCTAAAGCATTTTTTCAAGAACACTTAAATACCTTTCCACTGTTGGCACAGACAAGGAGAAAATCAGACGGAATCATATACATAAATTGTTTCTGCAAGGAAACATATTACCTCAGTAGAAGACAAGTGAATTAATATGGGACTAGATTAAGCAGGAGTTAGTTTTGCCTTAAGAAGTATGTGCAAGTACATTAATAAAACAAGAAGGGAAGACAACCCTGAACAGAATCTTTAAAGAAAAACGGGATCTGTAAGTTTGCATTGTGATGTGCAGCCACCTGTCAGCACATCAGAGACAAGGAATGATGGGCAAAGAATATGAGTGAGTCTGATATAACTGTGCAGAACATTCATTTGGACAGGACCTTCTTTAAATAGATCAATGTTACGTCTTGCCAACTTAATTACTTGCGTCTAGTCTGGTGGCTGCATTGCCTAAAACCAATTGTACATATTTATTCCTCCTAAGTCCTAGTTTACTTGCTTTACCATGTAACTATTAATGCATTTATTAAGTACTAGTAATAAAAGCATCAATGAGTTTTTCCTCATTTAGAATGTTTATGGAGCGTAGGAATCCTTATATAACAGGGGGATATATATATATATATATATATATATATATATATTTTAGATTGTCCAAAAGAATACATATTACTGATGTTGCACTGGTGCAGAAAATAAAGCTTCACACCTAAAATTTAATACCCTTCCCAGATTGCACCATAATCCATCTAGGGCAGCATTTATTCCCAACTTTGGCCAGCTGCTTCTGGGAAACTTATTTATCTAGAGGAATGTTTAATCCACCATTCAAATAATTTCCATTACTGCTTATAATGCAAGACCAACATTTTAAAAAGCAGCAATCAAAACATAAAAGGCATCTGATTCTAAAAGTAACAGAGAGGCATAACATCATCACCAGAGCTAAAATTAATTCACATTGCAATCATATGTTTAGGATTGTTCAGTTAGAAGAAATGCCCATTCTGATCAATGGTGCATACTCCCAAGTAAGTATACATTGGATTGCAGCCTAAATTTAAAGCTAAAATGCATGGGGGGGGGTTTATTTCTTTGCTTGGCAAAAAAAATGACATCAAGGTAGGCACTACGCAAGTCTCTGTACATGCTTTCCGCAGTACAGCCCTGCTAAGAAGATCACCACCTTAGTAGCCAGCCAGTGTATTTCAAATCCCAGAGGATGGCCTCTGTTGAAGACCTTAGCTGTATATGAGATACATGTAGACAGAGGGGCTGCTTCAGGTAACCTGGTCACGAGCTGTGAAGAGCTTTAAAGGTCAAACTAGTATAACAACAACAACAACAACAACAACAACAACAACAACAACAACAATTTATTTATACCCCACCCACCTGGCTGGGTTTCCCCAGCCACTCTGGGCAGTTCCCAACAGATTAATAATAATAATAATAATAATAATAATAAATAAAGTGATAAAACATCAAACATTAAAAACTTCCCTGAACAGGGAATTGAGCTTAGAAATTAACAAGGAGCAAGTACAGTCAGCAAAACACCAGTGTAATATGATCATAACTCCTGGTCCCAGTTATCTATTTAACCAATATGGTTTGAATTAAATTGTTTCTAAATCATCTTCAAAAGTATGCACACTTAAAATCTGGGCTTTTTTTCAGTGGGAAGTCACCAAAGCTAAGCTCCAAAACCTCTCGGGTGGGTGCCATTGCCATTCTAAGAGAATAAATCTGAATCCTCATGAGAAGTATTATTATATTATTTTCAGAAGTCATACTTTTCATACATTATTATTTGTAGGATTTATTTCTAAGCTAAAGAGCTTTAGAAAGTGGCTGCAGAGAATGTGTAATGTGGGTGCCAAATATATACAGTGGTACTTCAGGTTACATACGCTTCAGGTTACAGACTCTGCTAATCCAGAAATAGTACCTTGGGTTAAGAACTTTGCTTCAGGATGAGAACAGAAATCGTGCGGCAGCAGGAGGCCCCATTAGCTAAAGTGGTACCTCAGGTTAAGAACAGTTTCAGGTACCCCTGGCCGTACGGGCCAGTCGTGACCGACTCTAGGGTTGTGCGCTCATCTCACTTAAGAGGCCGGGAGCCGGCGCCGTCCGAAGACACTTCCGGGTCACGTGGCCAGCGTGACAAAGCTGCACTGGTGAGCCAGCACCAGTGCCGCACACGGAAACACCGTTTACCTTCCCGCTATAAAGCGGTACCTATTTATCTACTTGCACTTAGGGGTGCTTTCGAACTGCTAGGTGGGCAGGAGCTGGGACCGAACGACAGGAGCTCACCCCGCCGTGGGGATTCGAACCGCCGACCTTACGATCAAGTCCTAGGCACTGAGGTTTTACCCACAGCGCCACCCGTGTCCCTTAACCCAAGGTACCAATGTATATAAGCTAATTATTGGATTAAGGAGAGGCTGCTCTCCACCAGTGGAAAAACCAGTAAGAGTTAATTCACTATGGTAAAATAGATCCTGGCCCAGGGCTGTCACAAAGAGTGTCCCCACTTCTTGCTGTGTATAAGGAGGAAAGTAAACAATATGCACCCCTTTCTTATTACCCTGTCTTTGGCAACGTATGCATGTGTCCACATGTGCCTGGAAAACAGTTAACTCAAAGCCAGCAACATCTACCACAGCTTAGCAAATCCTCAGAGTACGTTATTGGTTTTGTTCATTGGAAAGTGCCTCTGACCAAAGAAACTGTGTACCTGAGTGCTGGCTCAGTGATAAATCATAATTGCCACCGTTGTAGCTCCATAATTAGTGGCAACTCTTATAGCTTCAAATGGCAATCTCATCAAGTCTGAAACCAGAAGATTAATTTGATGTTTGGAAGAATAGAGAAATGGCAACATCTACAATTCTCTTACAATTGATGATGTTCTATTATGTGCATAATACCTGCACTTCCAGGGGAAAGAGACCCTAGTCAAGGTGTACTGATTTAGGGTAGGATAGCTGTAAATAGATGCAGTTGGAAATAGACAGCAATGGTAGTACATATATATAGGCGTGTGGCAAGTAAATGAATTTGTGAGGGACCTTGACTATGGGTAGTCAAGAGGAGATGCCCCTTTCCTGTGATCTGAATCGTATGATTAATAAGTCTTTAGAATAACTGTATCTGTGGCTGTCTTACTAATTCTGTTTAGTGGGTAGCTATTGTTATAAACAGCTAGGCCTCTGTGTTGGAATGCCTAGGCATTCCAAAGGATATTTCATCTTTCATTTTTTTAAAAAAGTTATTAATTGTACATATTCATTATGGATGTTTTTAATGTTTTGATGGAATTATTTCATTGCATACGTATCTTAATTATGTGTTGATATGTTTTTAGAATTTATTTCACATTTGTAAACTACTTAGGAGTCATTTCAGCAAGTAAAAAGTATATAAATTAATATAACAAGAACAGTATTTGTTTGACCTAAGATGCTGTAATTGTTATGACACATGCAAAAGAAGGGCATAACAAAATATTGTTAAAATACAGCATTGTCTTTCACTTTATTCTTGA